AAAACTCACATGAGTCAAACAGTCAATAATTCCGAGATAATAAATCTCTTCGCCCGGGGCCCCATTTTCATGGGTAGCACGGAATCCCCCGTCGTCAGCGTAGAACACATGGTATTTCCGTTCGTCGAGAATCTCCTCTGGCATCTTCGCAGCCGCCTTGTCAAGGGGTACTGGGCGCTCCCGCTTGATCAACATGCGCAGCTCACGAGCTTTGCGCTCACTTTCCAACTTAGACGGCGTTCGCATGAGCATATTCTGAGAGGAATCCTCCTGGTCACCTCCGGGTTGGAAAACCTGTAATGTTTTGTCACGGAGTTTCTCCTCATTGCCTCGATCCAAGTCATGAATTCCCACCAACAGCGAGTAATCCATAATCTTAAGTCTCTTCAACAACTCGACATCGCGCTGCAGCTGGGCAATAAAGAACTCCTGTTTAGAAGGACCGCACTCGATATGGCGGCTGCGGCGGACCCAGTTCAAATCCTTGAGAGTCGCTCGTGGGTTCTTTTCCAGGTCGGATTCGTGGAGATCTCGACCAATGGTCGATCCCTTCAAATCGAAGGTCTGGTGAATGTCACGGTGAGGCGGGAAGAGGTTGTTCATAACCACAAAGTGGATTTTGCGGCCATATGCCATCTTGACACGATGCAAACCGTAGAATTGAGAGATCAGCGTGTTCGGGTTCTTCTCCACATGCTTATAATACTCGGGTAGGATCCTGCGCAGCAGCTTATGTTCAGCGTGGTGGATGGTCTTGATGATATACTTGTAATCTCGCGAGAAGTAGAAAAAGCTACCACTCTTTCCTGGAGATCCCAATTCAGAGAGGATATATTTGCTTGTGAGGGACATGAGATAATCAGCAGGATCAATGCGAAACTTGGCTCGCAGGCTTCGAAAGACCCAAGGAGCGTAATCCTTGAACTTGAAGTCATACTTGGCCGACGGGACCAACTCATTTCCGGTGCTAACATTGTCGTCAATATCGGGGTACAAGAGGTAATACAAAACATCAAAAGCGAAACATACATGTCAAAGGAGAATTTATGCTTTGCTTCAAAATCTGCCGGGGTGAGTTCACGTTCCAATTTGGCATTGATTCGCGATACCGTGAATCGGATACCAGTCAACATGTTATACGCTGTGACCCAATTGACATGATTCTGGTCCACCTTGGTTCCTACGATGACCCGGTCATCATCGTCGTCATCGCGACGCCGGCGCCTGGACGCTCTGCGCTGCTTGATAGCTTCTGCGTAACGGGCAGCATCTTCATCAGGGATGGACTCATCTGCGATCGAGTCAGAGTGGTTCGTTCGGGTGGTTCGACGGGCAAGGCTCATAGAAGTCCGACGGATACCAGCCGTCGGGGATAGCCGACCGCTGCTTTGTGCCGTATCTTCGGAATGATCACGACTATTCCGGCGAGCGCTAGCGGACCGTGGAACCTGGAGTGTATGTCGATGTCGTAACGAACTCTGGTCTTGTTGTTGCTGTTGTGTTGGGGATTGCGGTGGATTGCCGCTAGCAGCGCCATCGATTCCGGTGGGGATCGGAGGCGAAGAGTAGCGATGTGGACTAGTAGTCCTAGGCGATAACCGACCGGGATCTGAAGAGAGACGACCGAAGCTTTCTTCGGGTTGAGAGCTTGACAAGGCGGACATGGAAGTATTCGCAACACAATCAGAAGCGACGAGTTGGTCGACAGAGGGTCGAGGGGTGTGGTCCCCGTTAACGGTTGGTCTCCCATTATAGAGCGAACGGGAACTCTGCGATGTCCCCATGAACTGCTGACTGGAGATGGACGCTGCCGCTGACCCGGCCCCTGAACCAGCGCCGGCGATGATATCACGGTCTAACGTGGTCGAAGGACGACCGGTATCGCGGGGATCACGCGCGGATCCATTGCCCTGAGAATACATACTGCCATCCTTGGACTGGGGCAGGTCACGGTTGTGGGAAGAACTGATACTAGAACGGTGGCCATTGACGGAGTAGGCACTAGCATTCTTCAGATTGGCGAGACGGTCAGTCGAGGGGGCGGCAGCGTCACGGTGGCTAGTAGTATCGCCATTTGGCCAGTTATTGGTCCATAGGAAGGTATTTCCAACGGGGGCTTTTTCATGCGGTTTCCCCTGGGGCGAGTCCACGGGTGGAGGCGTCGCGGTATGATAGTCGTTGGCGAAAGACGGCATGGCGCTGCGAAGGAGAGGGTCAAAAAAGAAAGGACGCCCGCTAATGAAGGGAAAAAAAAAAAAAAAAAAAAAA